GTGTGTGTGTGTGTGTGTGTGTGTGTGTGTGTGTGTGTGTGTGTGTGTGTGTCCCTTCCTCTGTGAATGTGATTATGGGCTTACAGTATTGCAATATATCTTATTGCAAACCGTGAAATGATATGTATTATATCGCCAAATTCTTGCCAATACACAGCCCTATTATTTACCTCTTCAAATTCAATAGAAGCCTGACAATCAAATCAGGTGAGTTTCAGCAGGGAAACAAGAAAACATGCTGTATAGCAGCCCTCAAGGACCGAAGTTCGACACCTGTGATGTAGGCTATTGCCTCCATGTTTCATGTCAGAACAACTCTCATGCAGATACATGTCAAATTATAGCTCTAGCACACAAAACAAACATGAGACCCCCACCAAAATGGACTAATTTGAGGAGGAAAAAAATTGTTTACCAATTTTTAAAAATATGTTAATATCTCAGGCAAAAACACACTAACTCACAAGAGGACAGTTAGCAACAATTTTACCTAAATGTTTATTTTAACACAAAACAATTGGCTGTGACAGATATTCGGTAAATTATTTAAATAAATAAATGTTACCAATTATTTTAATATTTGGGACTAATTACAATCATCCTCCTTACAATATGTTAATATTTTTAAGACCTCTGAAAGATTGATTTACGATTTTAAGACTAATATAGCCTTTATTTCCGATTAATAATTTCAACGTCTTTAAGCCTTTTTAAGGATCCACAGGAACCCTGTGATACTATATGCCCATCTAAAACCATCATTGTGTGGAGGCTATGTCAAATTATAACGTTTTATACAACTTGTGAAAATTTTGTTATGACTATTTTACTCATATTTGTATTATAAACAGACTCATTGAAATACTGATTAAAAATGTTATGTATTTCATCTATTCGTATAAAAGGGACAGTTGTGCACATTAACATGGGTTTTCCCTGTAAAAACCCACAAAAAAAAAACAGACGCTAGTGGCACACATGCACAAGATAAGAGTTACACATGACATTAGGTTATTAAACCACACCTGTTGAACAATATTTAGATCCATAATATTTGCTTCCTGATAAAATATAGAAGTGTATTTAAATGTTAAAGATGAAAGCTTGCAGGATGCATGCACCACTCCTGAAGCATAAGGGAAGGTTGTGTTGATCTGCATTATTAAATCCTTTAAAATACAGAGGAGTTACTGGGTTAAAAACGTGAGAAGCATTTTGTTTCTTTAACTTAAGTTAATGTGCTGTTTAAGGGACAGAGGTAATTTGCAAACTATAATCCTGTGGTTTTATAAAACAATACAGGAAARGGGAAGTGACGCTGACTTCATCCGAACAAACAAATTATAATAATAAAGTTTATTATTAAGTGCTGTTCGGATTAACTTGTTAGCTAGATATACCAATGTTAACTATTATTTTACACGTTTGGTAACACACCTTCATTTAAATAGGCTTCGGGACATAAGGTGAAGATTTAACAAGTAAAAACATATTTTTTTTATTAAGTCGGTTCGCTTACTGCAGCCAGAAGACTGTTAACAAGCTAACTACAAGCAAATACAGAGACCTTAGCAGTTAGCAATGTTAGCTGGACACGAAGAGGGAACCTACCGTCTGCTGCCAGTGACAATTGTTCCGGTGACAGCAACAAACACCGAACAGTCCGCTTCTCAAAAACTGTTCAATACAGTTATCACTTGACTGGCCACTGTCCCGTCAATTCCTTTCACGCTGGAGTTGGCACTTATTTTTCCACCGCCTCCGGGTCCCACCTATCCGCTGTGTTTCCGAACGACAACAGCTTCTGTAAGAGCTCGCTCTGTTGTTCACAGTTCTCGTTCAAAAATTAAACTCTCGCGAGATGAACTACTCACGCTGTGGTTGAAATTTTAAATATCGCGAGATTTGGATTCAG